AAGATCTCCCAGGAATCCCACCGGAACGTCAAGTCGAATTCAGAATCGACTTAATTCCCGGAGCCACCCCAGTAGCAAAGTCACCTTACCGTTTAGCTCCAGCCGAGATGCAGGAACTGTCCAGTCAATTGAACGAGCTGTTGAGCAAGGATTCATCAGGCCAAGCTTCTCACCATGGGGTGCACCAGTCCTATTCGTGAAAAAGAAGGACGGATCTTTTCGCATGTGCATCGATTATCGAGAACTGAACAAACTGACAATCAAGAACCGATATCCCCTTCCACGTATAGACGATCTTTTCGACCAACTACAAGGAGCGAGCTACTTCTCAAAAATCGACCTAAGATCCGGTTATCACCAACTACGAGTACTGGAAGGAGACATCCCCAAAACGGCTTTCCGAACACGATATGGTCACTACGAGTTTGTAGTAATGCCCTTCGGGTTGACAAACGCTCCAGCAGTGTTCATGGATTGATGAACCGAGTATGTCGTCCCTTCCTGGACAAATTCGTGATCGTGTTCATAGATGATATACTCATCTATTCTAGAAACCAGGAAGAACACAGCCAACATCTCCGCCAGGTTCTGGAAACATTAAGGGCAGAGAAACTTTACGCAAAATTTTCCAAGTGCGAATTTTGGATTCGAGAGGTGGATTTCCTAGGACACGTAGTAAGCAAGGAAGGAATACACGTGGATCCCTCGAAGATCAAGGCAATAGAGAATTGGACGATTCCAAGAACCCCTACAGAGATCCGACAATTTTTAGGACTCGCCGGGTATTACCGAAGGTTCATACAAATTTTTCCAAGATTGCCAAGCCACTCACCACACTAACTCAGAAAAATGTGACCTTCGACTGGGGAGAAAAACAAGATGCCGCATTTCAAACGCTAAAACGAGCATTATGTAGTGCGCCCATCCTAACCCTGCCAGAAGGACGGAGGACTTCGTGGTCTATTGTGATGCATCAAACCAAGGACTCGGGTGTGTCCTGATGCAACGAGGGAAGGTCATCGCCTATGCCTCAAGACAACTAAAGACGCA